GTCAGGGAGATTTCACTATCCTAAAAGCTTATCTGTCAGCATCAGCGAGTTATTCCAGTAAAAGGGTATCATCAACAGCAGCGGGAGGAAAGAAAAAAAAATAAAAAAAGTAAAAAATAAAGCGACAAGCCTGAAGGGTTTCTGTTCCCGTCTGTCCGCAGCCGACCTTGAGCCCGTACAGCTGCGCGTCGCCCGGGGCCGGTGCGGGAATTGGCGTGGGCCGCTCGGAAGCCCAGCCAAAGGGAGAAGAGGAAGGGCCAACCGCGCTCTCCCTTTGCTTCGGGGTAGCCCGAGCTGGCCATTTTCCTGCCTTCCACGGTTCGCACCCAAACGGTGCAGTGCTGGAGGGTGAGTAGGCTGAGAGGGGCAGGGAAAAGATTGATCTATCTGGATGGATGGATGGAATGGATGGATGGATGGATGGATGGTTGCTCTGCCCTCGTGGGAAGCTCAACTGCCTCGTGTCTGGAAAGGAGCTTCCCCATGGAAGCGCCTCCAGCCTGGTGGTGCCTGGAGCTGTAGGGACCCTTGTTCTGAACAGCCAACCGGAAAACAAACTCGTCTTCTGCAGCAAACAGATTTTAATGTGCTGTTAGCCACCTTTATATGGCTTTTTGTCCAAGGAAGTGAATTTCTGTATGCATTGAACAGCTTTCACCCTGGTACAGGACTGCCACATCCATATTTCATTTACTTTGGAAATCCAGTGGCAGACTGGGTCGTAAAAAAACGCCGTACAAACACGCACAAAGTATTTGTTCTGAGCGCGGAAGCAAATAGAGGAGTTGATGAGATGGACTGGGAGCCCAGGGCCATCGAGCGGGGGGAGTCGGAGGGAACCCACGCCGGCGCAGTTTGCCACCCGCAGCCAGAAGGAAAACGTTTTCCCTTCTGATCCGATGAGGGCTCCCGCGGTTCCCCCTCGCTCCGAGGGCTTTGGCCACCCGGCACGTCTCGATCCGCGTCCTTCGCGCCGCTGCACCTTGCCCTTCGCGGGGAGGTCGCCGGGGTGTCTCTGCTGCTTCTTTTGGGGTTATTTTCCTGATTTTAACTATGGGATAACGCATCTGCCGCCTCTTTCCATCTGCACCTCTCTTGCCCAGAGAGGTGGTGGATGCTCCATCCCTGGAGACGTTCAAGGCCAGGTTGGACGAGGCCCTGAGCAACCTGATCTAGTTGGAGATGTCCCTGTTACTTGCAGGGAGGTTGGACTAGATGACCTTTGAAGGTCCCTTCCAGCCCTAACCATTCTATGATTCTATGATTCTATGATTCTTTGGTGCTGCCGAGGGTGGGTGCTTCCAAGCGGAGCAATTGCGCATTCAGGGCGAGAACGGCTTCAAAACCTGGACGGAATAAGCGATGCGGCTTTTTAACTTGCTTTAGAATTGCACCAGTAATCCATGGCTACATTATTAATGTAGCATTAAAAGGACTTGAGGCCTCTCAGCAAATTCCTATTTCAAATAAATAATTACTGGAGCCGAGATAATTTATTAAATTAAATTGAAAAACCCAGGCACACTCTATGTTTGCCTTCGAGTAATTTTTTTTTAACTACCACGTCCAAAAATACACTGTTATTCACATCGCCGCGCCCGGAGGCTGCGGGTGGGCTGGAATGCCAATGCGGCAGCAAAAAAAACCAGCCCGGGTACGGCGTTCCTGGGCGAGGGCCCAGTTCTGCGTTTCACACCTCCAGGCGAGGGCACAGACGTGTTTTTCTGGATTTAGAGATGACGGGATGGGCACGGGACGGCCCGGAAAGCCTTGCCCGGGCAGCGGCGTTTGAGCCGCGGTGCCTACGAGGTCGTGCCGCATCTCGTTTGGTGGTCGTTGGCGGGCACGGCCGTTCCATTCCGTTGGTGATTTGTCATGGAGCGCTTCCATCAGATAAATACTGAGGCTGCGAGAGCAAAATGTCATTTTACTATTCAAAAGCTCCACCACCGTAAGCGCGGCATCGATCGCGCTTTCGGAGCGTCGCGCCCAGAATTAACGCCTCGTGTAAACGCTCCTGGACAAGGG